GGCCAGAAGGGAGCGATTAGTACTCCTGAGGCTTGGTCTTGTAGTATCTTTTGCAAGCAACGAGGAACTAAACTAAATGGTGGAAAGGCATAAAACATCTTAGTATCCCAGTTTAATGTAAAAGCATCAACTGCAATACACCCAGGATCTGGTCGCCATGCAACATATTGTGCAAGTTGGAAATTTACTCGGCTTGCAAACAAGTCAACTTCCAGGCTGGGAAATTTTGTTAAGATGTTTTGAAATGTTTGCTTATTTAACTTCCACTCATTCTTATCATGAAATACTCGAGACATTCTATCTGCCTCACCATTAACCTTGCCAGCTATATGAGTTGCAGAGATCCAAATGTTCCTTTCAATGCACCACTGCCAGATTTCAACTGCTAACTGGTTGAGAGGTCTAGATTGTGTCCCCCCCATTTTGTTAAGATAAGCAACTGCAGTTGTATTATCAAGCTGCAAATGAATGTGCCCATCTCTGTCATTGACACAGAGTGATTTCAAGGCAAAAAAGGCTGCCTTGAGTTCTAGCACATTGATGTGTGCCTGTTGTTCAATGGTACTCCATCTACCCCCTGTAGAGGTACCCTCTCGGACTGCCCCCCATCCTTGTGTAGAAGCATCAGATTGAATGATAGCAAATGGTTTACCATGAATAATCTTATGAGTGGAATTTGGTAGATTTGTAATCCACCATTTCAATTCATGCTCGCACCTATCAGTTAATGTCATTTTAGCGCCATAGACCCCACAAGCTAATGTTAATGCTGCAGATTTAGCCATTTCAAGTTCTCGATAATGCAAAGGCCCATACTCCACTCCAGGGAAATTGGAGACTAATAGACCAATTACTTCTCCAACCTGTTGTATTGTAGTTGCAGCTTTAGCTAACAATAGTTTGCAAGCGGCCACTGTCTTGTCTATTTTCTCCTGTGTTGGGGAGACTGTCATGTTGATTGAGTTAAGTATAAACCCAAGAAACACAAGAATTTGTGTTGGGACAACTGACTTCTTGGGTGAGGTATAAATCCCAACTCTGTCACAAGTGTTTTTGTGGCTGATATATTTCGAGAACATTCTGCAGGGGTGTCCCCTTGGAGGTAGGAGTCGTCAATGTACCCTGAACTCATATGGCCCATACTATAGTAGAATATACTGGTTTTAACCAGTAGAATATACTGGTTTTAGTAATTTTGTAAATATACGTGGAGCACTCGAGAGTCCATTTGGAAGGCAGGTATACTGATAGAGGCGACCCAAAAATTCAAATTTTAGGAACTTTTGGTCTGCCGCATGCACTGGCACCATATAATAGGCATCAGTGAGATCAATAGAGGCCATATAACAATTTGGCTTCATCATTTTTACTGCTGCATCTAAAGTGTCCATTTTAAAATGGCGATGCTTCACAAATTCATTGAAAGACTTGAGGTTAAGTATCATACGATATGAGCCGTCTTTTTTAAGTCTGAGAAAGATTGTTGAAATAAATTCACCTAGCTCATGTATGGAGGGAATAATAACCCCCTTGCTAAGAAGCTTATTAATCTCATTTCCAATAATTGCAGTTTCACACATGGCGAACTTTGGCTGCATATTGGCTGGGATGTTGATCATTAAATTCAATGTTAAATTCTGGGTCTGAGGTCAGTTGCCTCCATCGATCAACAAAATGTTTTAAACGTCCAGCAATTATTGACGTGTCAGGCGAATCAACAGTATGCAATGAATATGAACTGACAGTTTCTCTTACCTTACTATGTACAGGTTGTGTTATGTACAGGGCCAGGACTAGAGCTGGCTTCTCTTTGTCTTCTCTCAACCGGTGCATTGCCATCGGCCATTTTATATGCACACTATGAACACAACTACGTTGGTTTCTGGTTGAGTAATCTTGGGTTAAAACAAGGTTTGGCCGTTATCACAGCGATACCAACTACGTTGGACGCTTTTGATTAAGTATCTGCCACGTAGACACAAGGAAAGTAGCTTAATCTTCTTGAATTAACTTGAAATATTTTTCTCTAAATTTTTCTTCGTCCGCAGAGCCGGGCCTGATTTCCCCAAAGAAAGGAAAACAAGGCTCTGCTGTTTTTGCATTTCTGTTTGTCCAAAATGCGAACAAGTAATTGTATAGTTTTGAATGTAATAAACGATATGACTGTTAAATACTATTCAATCTAATAAATTTAAAATACAAAAGTTTATAAATATAGAGTAATAATATAAATGTAAAATGTACGTACCAAAGTTCATACAATATTTAAAGTTCTATAAACGTTACTTATACAGCATTCATGCCTGGAATAGTCATAATCATCAATAATTAACCAATCAAACTTTAGTAATATGAATCATTGTGTAACAGGGGTTCAGCCCATTATAACTTGAGAGAGGGGGTTCAGCCTCTCTTTTACACCACTGCTAATTACCATAAACTGCATTCCACTACCTATTAATATGCAGTTTTTTGAATTACTTTATTGTCTTGTAATTTATTATTTTCCTCCAGATCCTTGGGTTCAAAAGTGTAACAATTTTCATGTCAACATGCAAGTAGACACAATCCTCTCTTCATCTCAAAAAGGTTTGTGCAGGAAAAATATATATGACTTGGCTGTGTGTCATTCAAGCAGTGCTGTAAAAGTTATGTAGTTATTTTTGGAACTAGTTGTAATACTTGCAGTTGCATGCTCAAAAAAGGAAGTATGTCACTGGTAAATGTTAGACAGAAAAATCATAACTATGTACTTGTTACTGTTACAAAGTTACTGCATGATTTTTGTAATAGTTTTAAAACAAGTTACTTTCAATATTTTGTAACCTGTTTAAAGTTACATCTGCATGTTTTAATAATTACGTGAACTTACTGAGAAGAACAGGATAACCCAACTGCATGCCAGCAAATAGGCAGGAGTTGTTGTACAGACCACATTACGGCAGGAAGCATAATGAAAGTATATACTATATTTTAACATGAAAGTGTACATAAAAAAGTAAGTATTACAGTTGGGCAGAAAAGTAAGGTTATCGTTCCATTTTAAGCAAAATGTAACTACTGTACTGAAAGTAGTTACAGTTGCAGTTACCTCTTCAAAACATAAATATGCCCCTGTATCTTTCTCTAAGAAGAAAACATGTAATCACAATGATGTATCATTGCAGTCAAGGGATGTATTATGGATGCATTATGTTTGTATTGGTTTGACTACAGCAGTATAGGGATATAGATTGTTCACTTTCAATTCTCAAATATTTGTTTAACAGTGCACATGCTATAGCAGGCAGGACTGATTCAATAAAGACTAGCATAAAAACCTATTCAACATGAATCTAAATTTAATGAATCCTATAAATTTTGTTCCTATAGAGGCTCATCAGCTGAGATTAGACAAACTCCGGCAGGAACTGGATTACATAAAGACTGATGCTTGGAAATATAAACCCATCGAAGAACTGATTGGTTTCTAGTATAGATTATTTTCAAGATATGTAGATATGTCAATTTTGGACAATTTGTAATGGTTTTTATAATGAACAATCCAATATTTATAATACTGCAGATGGAAACATAGAATAAATATGCTGCGCAATCGTCAAAGAGTGTTGCACATTAATGCAATGGTATAGGCATGCATGTTCGAAGCCATTGCCCCAGTGGCCAAAAAAAATTTTAATTTGTGATTGCCGTTTTCACTCGAGCTTGGAACACACTACTTTTGTCGAAATGCATGCTTGGATGTACAAACGAAACGTCTTGGCGTCACGTAAGCCGCATGCAGGACGTGTTGTCAAGGCGGTGACACTTTGTTGTCAAGGCTATTTATGCCGAATGTCTGAAATTAAGACGTACGGCAAAAATATTTGAAAGATTAGTACTTTTAACCATACAACAATGAATTTCCGAAACATATACTGTGGGTATGTTATTTTTCATTTTGTGATATTTAATGTCAAATTACTTTACAGTTGAGTAAATAATAATTATGTTCAACCTTAAGCCCTGATTCCACGATGGCGAAATGGACAACTTGCATGTTAAACTAAATTCTAATCTACGTAAAGAGAAGGGAATCAAACACAACAAGTTAACAGTTAAAAAGAACATAATGAAATTAGTAAAATTGCAAAATTTGGTTGCGAAATGTTGTAAAATAAAGAAAATATAGCCTTGCGAAGTTTGCATATTTTCAGTATATTTGTATTACGTGCGGAAATTGTTACCATTTTCAGCTCTAAATGAAATTATGCCTATTTTTCGTACTGAATTCGTGCAATGAATTTCAACGTATAGGGGCCTAGGGCAGTCCTGCAAGACTGGTTTCACTTTCCGCCAGTTTGTCTTGCGCTTGTTGTCTATGTTCGAGAGGGTCTGTATTTTAGAAGAAATATGAGGTGAATATTCTGTTGGGGCGTAGGGTTTGACTGTAACTATTCTTTAGGGGGAACAACCGGATTTATCTGCATGGTCGTATTTTTAAGGTGGTTCGAAAACGCACAGAGAAATTCACACAACAAATATACTTTAAAATATTTAGTATTATATTGTCATAATTGCAGCCTAAGGGTAAGCCAATAAATATACAGATGATTATATATTATATACAAATATACATTACTCAATAAATTATTAATTTATATATTAGATATATAAGAGAAGTCCTAATTTTCCCTCCCCCGTGATATTCCTTAGATGTGTAAGTTAGAGAAGTAATTAAAAGACTAAAAGTAATGTATAATATCAAATTAAGTCCCTTATTTCAAGAGTTTTGCCGCAATAAAACAAGGCAGTACAAATGTCCCAGTAAAGATAGCTGCAGCAGCAACGTGTTTTTTTACACGTTGGTCCAATGTCATGTCCATGATATCTTCTTGGACAGTTTCATTTTTAATGTTGGCTGACAGCCATCTATTTATATCACCAGCTCGCAGATTTTCTAATTCAATGTTGTTGTAAACTTCAGAATCTGATCGTTGCACACAGCTGCCATGTTCAGAATATTCACCTTTATTAAATAAGTGTAAGTAGAATTAATAAAAGCAGGTTAGTAGTTAGTATAGTTTGTTGGTAAGTTGGTTATTTAGTTAGTAAGGTAGGTAGTTATATAGGTGGTCTGTCAGTCGTGGTTTGGCGATCGGTTGGTTAGGGATTGTGTGTTATAAATGTTTATACAAACCTTGGTAAAGCTCAAAGCTATCTTCAAAACCTTCACTGAACAGGTCACACTCATACAAGCTGCTCTTGGTGGATTCATCACCATAATTGACATTGGTGGCACTGCCTTTAGATGATGTATAGTTGTTACTGTCACCACACTCCAGAGTCCACTGGTCAACATTACCATGATTACCACAGTTGATCCCACCACTCCGTTGACGACTTTCTTCCATCCTGTCATCACAATCACTTGTTGCCACAGCGACTGGGTCTCCGTCAGAACCACAACTCAAGCAGGATACCTCCTCCTTAGGAACAGGACTATGACAACAGCTGTGAGGAGAAGCTGTGCTATCTACATCATAGGCCACATCACAACTCTGTCCTGATTCTATACCGGTACTAGGAGTACCACCATCATCCGAAGTCTTTGACTTCTGACTTGAATCAAGTTTTATTTTTTCCCAGTCCTCGTCACCCAGTATCAACCCGATGTTTCCACAGTCGCTTGGAAATACGAAGAACTCGTCTGGGAAATCTTCATCACAGCTCTCCTCGGATAAACTGTCCAAACTATTGAACCTGAGAGAGTGTTTCAACTGTGCTGGAATGGTAGTGGGTGGAATGGTCTGTTTGTTGGGTGTGGCTGTGGGTAGATCTGCACTGCTGTTGGTTGTAATGCTGTCGTCGTCAGTGTACGCGTATTCTTCGCATAATAAGTCGGTGGGTTCTTCATCGCTGTTCACATGACTATCACATGCTGAGTCGGTCGTTTCTTTGTCAGTAGTCACGTGACTTGCGCATGATGAGTCGATAGTTAAATCTTCAGTATTCTTATGCTCATCACGTGCTATGTCATTCTGGACAAGGATGGTTTTCTCAGATGGATTTGTGGAGATCTTTCGAAGTATTGCTCTCTTAGGTTTATCAAACAACTTGCAGCGAACTTTGAAGATGATCGGCTTGTAGGAATAGTAGATTAATTAGTGTCAGGTACTCCGGTTTTCCGTCGGGTGTGGCCCTTTGTACTAAATCCATAAGGAGAACAGTTTAGAACTTATATAGAGCTATCCAGGAGAAATAAAGTTAGTTCAGTTTTATTTATCAAGTCGGCATCTTACCGGAGCCTAGTTCCATAGGATTTCCAGAGAGCAAGAAGGTAGATTAGAGCAATGCAAAGTTTCTGGCTTTCAGTCAGGCCGAATATGTAATTGATACTTTCTAAAAAGATGAACAGTGAAGAACCCAGTTAGTTTCAAAATAAAAAATGTAGAAAATGTACGATATGGTTTGGCGTAAGGAAATGAATATAGTCAAAACGATTCATTGAATTAAAGTTTTGGCCTAACCATTGAAGAATGCCTGTGCTTTTAAGCCAACGCTGTCTGGTTGTTCTTGCTTGCAAATGTTTCAGCTAAAATATACAGAAAAATTGACATTGATATGTTATTAAAGACATAAGAACATATTTTTAATAAAAAATATTTGATTCACTATTAAATTAGAAAATAAAAAAAGTTAACAATAATAGAATCTTGATTTGTATCTGACTGTACAGATACTCAAAGCCAACGCAAAGCTCGTTGGTTTCCGTGACAGGGCAAATATAAACCACTTCCTTTACTGTAAATACATATTATATTCTGGTATATAAATTTGTGAGCAAAATCAATGAAATGCGCTTACAAATAAGAAAACAGGCAAAATATTTCCTGAATGAATGAATGAATGAATGAAAGTTGATTTGATATGAAAAATAAAAATACTTTCAAAAAGATCACAAAAACACCGTAAAAGTTAAAGAAAAAAAGCCGAAAAAAAATCTTTAGACCAAAAAAATACTGTAGGCAATGTAAGAGGTAAAAATTGTTTGGTAAAAGCAAGTTGAATGTTTTTCATCAAAAAGAATCAATGAAACAACTTTTAAAAATTCACAAAAAAACTGTAAAAGTTAAAGAAAAAAAATCTGAAAAATCTTTAGATCCAGACTAACAAAATACTGTATAAAGCAAGAAGTAAAAATTGTTTGATAAAAGCTATGTATTTCATAAAACATTCAGATCGTAAAGACATAACACAAATTTCGGAAAAAAGACAAAATTCTTGTCTATAAAAGTTTATCGGAAAAAATAGAAAACGTTTCGCAAAAAAGTTTGGTCTTACCAAAAAGTCGTTGATTGTCCCATTCGGCAGTTAGATGCAGTTTCTTTGCTTGTTCTGTTATATTATGAAGTTCAAATGAACTGTTGTTGTTCTTCTTTAAAGTTGGAAAACACTTTTTCGAAATATTTAAATGAAAAGAACAACTTTCAGCAAAGCTATCAGTGATGGATTTTTGTAGCTTGCTTTGTCGTTGGTTAACATCGTGGTTAACATCGCTCACAATGTTGTTATTTGTGGCGAACGAAGGCACGAACCCATGTTCGGCGTTCATCGACTTATTGTCGTTGCCTGTCGAAGACAGGAAAAGTATTGAAAATACTATTTTAATCGCCAAATCTTCGCATAAAAGCATTTTTTACAAGCGCGCACGATTTTCGAACCTCTTCTCGAGAAAAAATGTGCGAAATGATAGTTGCTTGGACACGACGTCAATTTGTGATTGTTGCGTCATGTAATTAGATAATTGGTTACGCGTGTAATTAACGTTACGCGCGTGAAAATGGTGAAATTGCGAAAACATCTATAGTGCAGAGTGGTCTCGACAGATAAATTCGAACAGATAATTTAAAATAGCTGGAAATAAGTAAAGATTATACCGTAGTTCTCAAGTTTTTGCGTTCAGAAAAGTTTCTGATCTCCCCCAACGGGAATCGAACCCGTGCTTCCCGATTGCCAATTCGTTTGTTTTACCACTGGTCGATTCTAGGGTGTCAGACAGCAAGGTGTATCGGTAAATTTCTGGATCTTGCGCATCTGCACTCAATATGCATGGATACTATAACTAATTGTAGAAGATTTTTGTAGATGGAAATTTCAAGTGTGAATTTTATACGTTTTTAAATTTTTTATTTGACCTAAGGGACTGGTCATAATTTAGCAGGAGGGGTGGGGAGGTGGAAACAGTGGGAGGGTCACATATTTTTTAGCCAGGAAAAAGGGGGGTTCATAAAATATTAGACAGTTTATGAAGGGGGGAGGGGGTCTGCTGTTTTAGTTCAATTAATTGTTTTCTACATGCCTTCTCACATTTTGTTTGAGTTGCATCGAAAAAAATTGATTCTTTAAACTTAGAATGAAAAGTTTGAAAAAACTAAAGTTTTATATATAACTATGTATTGGTATAATATAAATTTTAGTATTTGATTTAAAGCGCAACTAGAAAATTAGAAAATTTAAAGTGCAATTAGAAAATTTATTGAATGCAGGGTTTAGTAGTAGGTATAGGTACATTTTTACTGACACGAGCAAGAGAGAGAGGGGGGGGGGCATTATTTTTCCGGGTTATGGCAAAGCAGCGTCACAAAATATCATTCCTTAAAATTTTGAATTACACCTCCCCACCCCCCTGATAAATTATGACCAGTCCCTAACCAGTAACAGGTGCGAAAAATGCAACTAAAGCCTGTTTGAAAGAGTGTGTGTGGGGGGGGGGTGGGGGTGGGTGGAGGGTTAGGATAGCACGGGAGCCACTCAGGCAGGCTGAATTTCATCAGGTAATTTTTCTACTCACCGAAAAAGTGTGGGGAGGGGCATGCCCCCTGTTCTACCGTCCCTGGACTATACTGGCTTCTGCAATAGTCAGCATGAGCTCCACCTATACTAGTAAATTCTCAAACACGGCCGAGTTTATCATGATAAATTCGCGGCACATTTTGAATTTATCATAATGATAAATTCGCGGCATCTAATCCCCCTCAACACTAACCTCTAACCACTAACCACTAACCCCTAACTTTTTTTTAACTTTTTTACCTTTTTTGCTAACTTTTTTAACTTTTTTGAAAATATAACTTTTTAAACTTTTTTTTTCTTAATTATATAATTCAATTCACTTTCAAACAGGATTTTTCAAGAGGTTTACTTTCTTTTTTTTTCTTTTTTAAAACTTTTGTAAAACTTTTTTTTTAGTGACATTACATGATAGCAAAAAGTCTTGTCTGATGCATGTGGTTTTACGATTAACTCTATTGATAAATTCAAAATGTGCCGCGAATTTATCATTCGCAACTGCTCCTTCTTGTTACGTCTAAATTTAAAATGTATAAAATTCACACTCGACATTTCCATCTACAAAATCTTCCCAATATTTTAAGCCCCGGTTAAGCGAGGATGAGAGTTGCAACTCTCGCTCGTGTTTGACCGCCATCTTTTATCAACTCTCATCGACTTGGAACTGGTTCAAATTTCAAATAAGAGTCTTCGCTACGCGCGATGATATCCAACTCTCATGCAACTCGTTTGATCACTAGACACACGAGAGTGTGAGAAAACTCTCACGCAAACTCTTGCTTCTCAACTCTTATCAATCTTCATTCTCGTTTGACCAGGGCTTTAGGCCGAATCTTTCTTTTCACTGTCATCATATATAGTTAGGTGTTGGGATGCCTTACCGTAGTAATTAAACCTTATAGAGATGAATAACTAATTCAAACAACAGTAATGCATACACGTTAACTTACCGATGCCAACTGGGATGTTGTCATTAAGACTCACTTGGGGTTGACTAACCGGAGTATAAGCCAGTGTCTCATTAAAATTTTGCGTAAAGCCACGGTTAAACGAGGATAAGGGTTGATGAGAGGTACGACTGTCGCTATAGCGTTTGACCACCAACCCTCATCAACTCTCGTCAACTCTCACCAACTAGCCTCTCATCAACTCTCACCAACTCTCATCAACTCTCAACAACCCTCATGCATCAACTCTCATCAACTCTCAACAACCCTCATGTATCAATTCTCATCAACTCTCACCAACCCTCATCAACTCTCATCAACTCTCACCAACTCTCATCTCATCTCACCAACTCTAATCAACTCTCACCGACTCTCATCAACTCTCACCAACTCTCATCATCTCTCGGCAACAACCCTCATCAACTCTCACCAACCCTCATCAACTCTCATCAACTCTTACCAACCCTCATCAACTCTCATCAACTCTTACCAACTCTCATCAACTCTCACCAACTCTCATCGATCCTTGTTTGATCAAGGCAGCATAGATCAAGTACAGGATCGATAGAGAACAGGTTTTCGTTGCTATATACGAGAATTTTATTCAAATACTGTACTGCTAAAGCCAACCGTTCGCTTGATTTTCGTCGCAGAAATTGTTTTCAAATGACTGATACTCGCTGCCGTCGGCTTCTCTATCTCTCACTCGTCCGATCTGACCTGTCTTACGCCAGTGAGATCTGGGCACCTCAAGCCTCGTCATGCGATCTTGCGATCCTGGAAGGTGTTCAGAGACGAGCTACTAAATTTATACTTCAAATTATGAGTTGTCTTATCTTGAGCGTCTTATAGGAAACTTAACTTTTATCAATATCTTAAACCTGCTCGAAATAAAGGATCTCATCTTTCTATTTCAAATACAAACAAGGCATCTACGACCTAGATATCTTCTCTTTTGTCGCCTTAATTTTTCTTCTAATGGCTCGTCTCGCACCCGTTAAAATAAGGGGCGGACCATTAGGCATGATCGGTCTGACGGCAGACGAGGCGGTGGAGTCTGTGTCTTCGTAAAGGACATGCTACCTTTCATTCATCTTAAAGAGATTGAAAGTCATGAATACGAATCGCTTTGGTTACTCTTAAAACCTCACCGCTTCTAAATTCAATTGTATTGGGAATCGTGTACCATCCACCCGGAAGTGACGATAAAGCCCTTCTTGCACACCTTACCGAGTCAATTGATTCTGTCCTTTCCACTAATCCCGGTGCAGGAATTATTTTAGCTGGAGATTTTAACCAATTTAAACATCGCCAGTTATGCAGTTCCTACCTCAAGCAGTTAGTCAAAGACGCCACTAGAGGAAAGAATATTTTAGATAAAATATTTACCAACATTTCTAAATTTTATAATTCTGCCCTGGTAATTTCTCCAATTGGACATTCCGATCATAATTCCATCGTTCTTAAACCTCTCTCAACTAACTCTTATGGTGGCGCAAGGTGATGATGTTCAGATTCTATCGAAACAAAGTCAATACACTTTGCAAGAAGGCACGACCTAATTACTACAATAAAAGTATCGCGGGCGTCCAACAGTCCGATTGAAAAGGCTCTATTATCATCTGAACGTCATTCATCTGCTGGTCCCGATGAAATTCCTTCTTGGCTCCTCCGGAAAAACGCTTCAGTGTTGTGCCGACCTTTGTGTTCCATTTTTAATGCATCAGTTCGTGAAGGATTTGTTCCCTCAATATGGAAGGCCGTGTTACTCAACTGGATCGCAAACTTCCTAACAGACAAACAACAAAGAACCCGTGTTGGTCAGTTCTTTTCTGAGTGGAAGTTTTTAAACGCTGGCGTTCCACAAGGCTTGATCAATGACTTGGTTGTGGCGGATGAAACTGTTAAATTTGTTGATGATACTAACCTTTGGGAAATTAATATCAAATCTGAATGGTCATCTGTCAATAATATGAAGGGGGGGGGAGGGGGGGCATGAAGTTAAATATATCAAAGACCAAAGAATTGCGTGTCTGCTTTTCTAAGCTTATTCCATCGTTTGCCCCTATAACCATGCGTGGTCAAGAGGTCGATGTCGTTTCGGAGGCAAAATTATTGGGAGTTGTTCTTTCAGACGATCTTAAATGGAACCGCCATATTGACACATTTGCATATAAGCCGCGAAGCGTTTGTATGGTCTGCGCCTTCTTAAAAGAAATGCTTTACCTTCTCATATCCTGATCTCAACCTATTGCATACATATTCGACCAATTGTGGAATATGCTTGTCAGGTGTGGCATTATGGCCTTCCTCAGAAAAAATCCAGAAAGGGCATTAAAAATTATTTTTCCTGGAACTACCTATGCTGAATGTTTGCTTAAAGCAAACTTAATGACTCTTTATGAACGTAGAACTGTTCTTTGCAAGCGCCTTTTTTCGAAGATGTTGGAACCCACTCACAAACTGAATGCCTTAGTACCGCCTAAAAATCTTCAAACTTATTCTAACCTATTAGTACCTAGGTGCAGAACTGAACGTTTTTCGAACTGTTTCATCAGTGCCGTAGCTAGCATTTATAGTTGGGGGGGTGTAGGCCAAAAATTTCCGAATGACGAAGAAAATTTCCGAACTTTCGAAAATTCTTGGCGACCTCCCCCCCCCCGTCGCCAAAAAAATTTCGGTCAGTGTACCATTTTAAGGGTCAAAAAATTTTTCCGGACACACCAATAGTTAGATATTAGCTAAAAATTGCCTGAATCTCATGATTTTCGTACAAAAACCATATACTATAATTGCCGTAATTTTCCGAATGGCCATCCCATTTTCCGAATATGTCAAAAGTTGGGGGGGTTAACCACCCCCCCAATACCCCCCCCTCGCTACGGCCCTGATCCATATATATATATACAGATCAGTACCAAATGTGGACGCGCGCAAGGGGAAAAGGGAAGGCGAGGGAAAAAATAACGACTGGCAGATTACAGAGACAAAATGGCGGACAATTTGACAACAAAAGAGGAAAGGCTATTTTAATATACACCACAGAGCGTTTTTAGCTGATAAACTCCCTTGTCCGCATGAGGAATGTAAGTATAATTTATCTTGCTATGATCAAGATGGTTTAGACCACCATTACAGGCAATCCATAAATGTCCTGTAACCTGTTATTTCAGGCTTTCAGCTGATTAGTGATATTAAAATTTAAAAGGCGAAAAGTCTTATTGTGCCAGATAACTGAGAGAAGCACTCAAAGGAAACACTGTCATGTTTGGAAAAGCTATCGATTAACAACCAATCGAAGGTATTCGTAAATCTAGAGTGTTGAATGCCTTTAATTGGAGCCAGCGAGCAATATAAAAACAGGTTGGTATTTTATTCAATTTTATTTATGCGTTTATATCTTTATATTTCACGATGAAATGCACTCTTAAACTCTTTGGATTATAAAGAAAACAGCTTTTTGCTGGGTTTTTTTTTTGCAACCTGTGTATTTCACAATTTGGTTGCTGAAACTACAAATTTTTGTTATTTATAAATTACTTTATAAAGTGCTATTAACTCCAGGTTTTGTGTAATATGATTATGTGCCAACTTAAAACTTTGCATACTAGGCTATTAAATCAATGACAAGACTTTTGGAGCATTCAAATATTTCCCAAAATACCTGTAAATAGCAAAATATACCCCCCGTAACTAAATGTTGCTGTATGATGAAAAGATGTTACATTGGTCATTAACAACACATTGTTTGGGGGCACAGGGTTGTAGGGATAATATAGAAGCTCAGGTGGCACATAACTCCTATCATAGCCTTAATTAAACAATTTGAAAAACCAGAAATACTGTATCAATGCACTGGGGGCAATCTGGCAATTACTTCTAACTATGTTCTGACAATCCTTGCACTCATAGTCCTTGACA